GGGTCTGTGCGTGCGGCGTGAAAAGAGAGGCGGAACGTGGCGCCTGGCTGCGGCTGCGGCTGCGACCCTCCTATTCCTACGGAGAGAGAGAGTGAGAGAGAAGGCAGCAATATGAAAGAAAACGACAGATGGTCGCGCACCATGCCCACCACCCCTGCACAGAGCAGGTGGAATGCGGTGCCCATACGCCCCCAAACAAGTGGGTGCAAAAGACGCGTGAGACCGACGCCATCGGAACCTCTGTTGAGGGCTGACGAAGCGCCAGTCTGCAGGACCCGTAGCTGCTACGCCGCCTCCTTGTGGAGGGTGCGAGGGCGGGAAGAAACAAACAAAGAAACCAAAAAAGAAAAAAAAATTACACCTGTCGCCTCCTCCATTGCGATGTCGTCCGAGACAAAAAAAAATTAAGTTATACATAAGATGAAACGGGGGAGAACTTAACACGACACTCACTCATTTGTTTGGCTCACCCCTCATCCGGTCGCAGATTCCTCTCACACGCTTCAAAAAAGTGCCACCACAGTCTGCACCACTAGTCATTTCCATGGCGCGTGTACACCGCATGAGGAATGCTGCAGATTTTCTATTGCGGCTGCTCCTGTGGGCTCGCCTGCATCGCCCAGGTGCCGTCACGCGTACATGCGGCGTACGTTTTCCCCGGAAGTGTGGGGTGCTCGGCGTCCGCAGGGTGGCGTTTTTTTTTTTTTGAGGACCTGCAAGATGAGGAGATGGTGCTGTCCACCAGCTGTTTTTTGGAAGAACTCCAGCAATCACTTCTCCGCTCGAATGCACCGTTATGTGTGGTTTGTGGGAAGGTGCACGTTTATGAAAGCCCTTCCACCTCGTCCCGCCCCAGCCAGCCCGTTCTGCTCCGCTCTGTTCCCCGTGAGAGGCGGGGGGTGAGGAAGCGCCTTCAGCGCTTCCACTCCCCTTTAGTAGTTAATGCTCATGTCTGATAGAGCCTGTGCGCCGCTCTGGATGCCCTCGCCGGTCTGGGTGAAGAACTATATAGACACAGGCGCGATCATACAGATGTTAGAAAGAGGAAAAAAAATATGATTACGTTTTTTTCTTTTTTTGCGCTTACACTTATCATCCTGTGGCTTTTTTTAAACCTCAAAAAAAATGTGGCGCAGACGACACCCCTCTTTTCTCAGCTTGTACTCTTTATTGCTTTTCATTACCCATGAACGGAGATAATGACGTCTCCCCCCCGCTTGATTGCCGTAGTCCCACGCAGGGCTTCCCTGCAGCGACAACCACCCCACCGCGTTGTCTCTCGGCATGTGCTGGCTTCGGTGCCGGTGGTGGTGCGTCTGCCTGTAACAGCCCACGTGCCCAGGTCGGCTGCGCCTTAGACGAGCTTGTCGGCCCTTCCAATGCACATGCAGTAGATAGGGTAAAAAAGATGCAGCGCGGCGTACGCGGCCGAGATGCCAACAATCGACCAAAACGGCGTCGTGGAGTCGAGCTCTTTCCACGGGACGTAGCAGTTCATCCCCCACTGCGAGGCAACAACGGTCAGCGGGAGGAACACCAGCGTGACGTAGTGCAGAACCACCATGCGGTAGTCAGCATGCGTACTGATGTTGTTGTTCAGCATTGTCACCGCCGAGGTGTAGATGATCGTGGTGTTGCCAAGGATTGTGCGGGCGCCATCGAGCTGTCGAAGTAGGTGCAGAATGCGACGAAGAATGGCGGTGTGGGCGAGGCGCTGCAATTCTGCTACCGGAGCAGAACCTTCAGCGGCGTTGGCGACAACGAAGTTCGGTTGGTGCACGACGCCGCCGGCGTTCCATGCGTCCGCGGTGATGAACGCAAAAAGTGTGCGCATGACCGGGCGCCCCAGCTGCCCCAGGAGGTTCACCTTACTCAGCAGGAGTCGGCGGTGGACGGAGAGGCACCGCTGCAGCCGCAGGGCACGGCGCAGCACATCCGCCTGCTCCGACTCCTTCTGGCGCACAAGCGGCATCATGGAATCAATGGCATCCACCTCATTGAAAACCAGCGTGGGGTCCGGCAGGAACGCCTCACAGAGTTCGTCGAGGATGATGTGGAGCAGCCAGGACGTGGTTAGCATGCGCTTTGCGGGGGAGAGCTCGGCAAGGTGCTGCGCCACGTTTTGGGAGACGTATTCCCACCCTTCCACCTCAGCCGTTGGGCGCCAGCTGACGATGCCGTCCGCAAAGCAGAGCAGTCGCACCCAGCCAAGGCCACTCTCGTCGTCCACGTCAAAGAGGTTTGCGTGCAGGCGGTCTGGCTGTTGCGCTACGGCGCTTCCGTCGGAGTCCGTGCCAAATGAGTCCGCACCACTGGGACGGCTGGCGAGGATGACGGCAAGTAGCATCTGTACGTACTTCTTCTCCGCAAACACCTGCAGCTCATCCGGCTCCCGCTCCTGAGTCCCCTCGTCAGAGCCCAGAAAGAGTTCGGGTTCACCGTCGGAGGGGCAATCCGTGGTGCTTACGAGGTAGCCCTCCGCCGGCGCTGCCAATGCCGCGGCCGCCTCGTCTCGCCACCGCCGCTCGGTGCAGGTGTGCGTCTTCAGAAGGGAAAAGAGGACCGTGAAGTCGTGCGGCTCGGGCGTGCCCACAATGTCAATCCAAAAAAATGACAACGGTAGCTGCGTTTGGGGTTGCTCCCACGCGGCCCCAGGCCGGGGGACGGCAGCCACATCGACGGCCACGCTGCCGAGATCAGGAATGTGAAGGGAGCCGCAGGTGCAGTGCTGGGTGTTCAACGGCCCTATCACCTTGCGCAGCGCCTCCACCACTTGGTCCATCTGCGTCATGGATTTCCACTCGCGTGTAGTGCCGTCCTTGAATTGCACCAGCAGCCGCACCTGCATCGGTGAACCGCCTCGCAGAGCGTTTTCCTGCGACAACTGCTCGGAGCTCTGCAGCGCATGATAGAGGTTGCCGGATAAAAAGCTTTCCCTGGGCTCAGACCGCCCAGTACGTCCACCCCTTTGAGAGCGGCCAGAACAGCCCATGCCTCCTGTCGTGTGTATATTTGAATATACGTGTTGTAACTCTTTCTGTGTGTGCGTATATAAATACACACGTTTTCCTTTTTTTTTTTTGCTTGTTGTTACACGTGTTTGGTACAGTCTCCTACGCTATTTGGACGGGATTTTTTGTTGCAGGTAGGACGACCCCTCACCCCCCACCCGACTCTTTGCACCTCACCTACTATGAAATTCAGCTTGTATATGCCTACGTTTCCTGCGTGACTTCACGCGACGGCAACCGCACAATTCTTGTAGCGCGTCTCAGTACACTCTTCTACAGGCACAAAAGACAAAATGGGCGGAAGAGCAAGATGGGAAAGAAGTCCACACACACATACACAACTGCATCCGTGCTGTATGCAAGGAAGCACACATGTGTATACACGGTATGAGCCAAAAAAGACTGAGGGGAAGAAAGAAAGAGAGAAAGAGATTGTGTGCGTGAGCCAATGAACGTGTGAAGGAGGGGCATAATAAAAGAACACAGGGAAACATGCGGGTTTCGAGGCAAAAGACTGTTCCCCAGCAATGGCAGGTGTGCAGGCAGGCACCGCCGTGTCCGGGACAGCGGCATGGGGGCGCAGAAGGCTGCCATGCAGGAAAGGCATGGCGCAACGCAAACATCCAACAAAAAAAAATGTGTCAACAAACGAAGACGACTGCCAGCAGCCCCGCAGAACAACCGCCCAAGAAACGAACCTCACAAACTCGGTGCGCCATCTCCCGTGCGAGGCGGTGCTGCCGCTGCTGAGGCGCGGAGTGGCGAGCCACACATGCGTGGCTAAGCGCGACGTTGCCCAGCGGCATACATACGGACTTCCGCAGGGGACGGCGCACACACAAAACAGAACCCGCGCCGCCGCGTCTGCTCACCCTTCCTTTTCTTCCAGAGGCAAACTATGCGCCATCTGCCACGCTCCAGTCACGCAGGTCGCTAGAGAGGTAGGAGGACAACAAGTGCAGGCGTGCGGCAGAGAGTCAGTGGGGGTGGGGGCCGGAGGGCGTCGCACTCCAGACAGTTCGCACAACGCTCGAAGGAAAGGAGCAATTGAGTGGGCGGCAGCAACGAGACACGCAAGTAAAATACGGGAGAAGGTGGGCCCCACAGGAGAAAAAAAACAAACACAAAACACGAGATTAATTCAACGGAATTGGCATCCATCACACCACAAGTGCGCCCCGAAGACATCGCGCACTTACGCATGCACACATTCTTTTTTTGCCTTTACAAAAAAAAAAAAAAGAGGCGGGATGCCTCCTTCCCCTCAAGGACGATGTGTGTGTGTGTGCGTGATTTCTGTGACGCCAGAAGCGGCGGAGGGGGGCCACGCTGAGTTGCGGCACGCCACGGATGTGTGCATGCAGAAAGTGAAAGCAAAAAATCAAACAACAAAGCAAAACAAAAGCCAACCGTTAGAGTGCTCGCATGACGCCGATGCGACTGCTTGGAGTCAACGCTAAACACACAGTACTGTTTCGGTACTCGTCGCTGAGCAAAGGCGGCGCATACGTCGTAAAAGGGCACTGCAAAAGAAATAGACAATGCGGGCTGGATACCAGGGCGTGCATTGCGAGTGCAGCGCCATTAGACACCGGCAGGGGAGGCAGAAAGAAGAGATGAAAAAATGAGACACACAGCCAACCACCCACCGAGGAGAGTGATAAAGAGCCAACACAAACGAGAAAAAAAAAGGAGAGGCGCCCACGCAACGGCGGCATCCCTCTCACGACCACCACGTTTGCACGCATGTCAGTGCAATGTGATGGCGCAAGTGGAATGCAGAACCACGCGTGCTGTAAAGAAATACCGCCGCGTCACACGGCTCCATGCATCACCCCTCCCCTCCCCCTTTTTTTTTCTTCCTCCATTCACACGAGCGGCGGACACCACGCGGCGGCCTGGAAGCACATATATGCAATACCAACGAAGGGAAGTGAAAATACAACCACTAACCAATGCCTGTCACTGCCATACACACAGATAACAAATGCACTCCATACACGCGAGGAAAAAAAAGGCAAGCAAATGCATAACAAAAACAAAGACAAAACAGCATCATACACATCATACATGTAAAGGGAGAGAGAGGGCAAAAGGTCCCGTTTATGACATACAAAAAAGTCGGGAAAAGAAACGGCCTTGCGAAGGTTTGTCCTTTCCCTTCATAGAACCATTTCCAATGGACTTGTCGTTGTGAGGCTTCTCGTGCCGTGGTAGGGGACTTCCGGCCCCTCCTCTCTTATCAGCTACACCCTTTCGCTTTTCCACTAGAGGGATCAGGGAGAGCTTAATCTTCGTCTCTCTTGCCGACCTCGCTTGTGCTTCAACTGCATCCATATGAGAAGTATGCAGCCTGTCATGTTCCCCCCGCTCATTGCCGCTCAGCTGCCTAAATGTACTCATCGATGGGTCACTCGGCAATGTTTCCCCTGCGTCGCGAAAGCTGCGTCTGCGTGTGGTGGTTGACGGCAAAATGAACCTGACAGAGTGGAGCCGAGATGATTCTACGGCAGGGTTCGTCCCCGCTCCATGCCAGCTACCAAGGGCATCGTTGTCCTCCCCGTTCCTGCAATTGCGGGAGACGAGCGCAAGTTTAAGACTACCCCGCGGCGTGTGCTGCATCGGCGTTGCGAGCTCAAGGTGGTGCTCCTCCTTGTCATCCTCTAAGATCTTCACCTGCAGTCCCGGCTGCGAGGGGGAAATGGAGTGGCGTCTAATGACGCGGCCAAAGCTGTCAACGCTGTTCGAGCGGTGAAGCGTCGCAGCGAAGCCCGGGAACAGGCACCGTGGCGGCTGCAGCGCCTTGCAGCTGCAGCCTGCTATGCAAGGGGGAAGCGGCACTGCGGGCGCCCCTTCCTCCGTGCCCGCCTCCAGCTGCGTGGAGAAGGTGAGCCACCCGGCGTCCCGCCCACGGGCGGTGGGGTCAAAGTTGTTTCTCCAGCTGCTGCTGGAGGAGTTGTATGCGACGGCCTGCTTTCCGCCACCGCAGCGCAGCGGGAAAGTAATTGCGTGGAAATGTGAGGAGTAGAACGACAGAACATCCAGCCGGTCCACGAGGTCTTTGGCGTCCGGCGTATCCCTGCCGGCGTCGGACATTACACCCCCGCGCAACCGCACTGGCCAGCCGGTCAGCAGGAAACAATCGGGGGGACGGGAACGAAGGGAGAGGCGGGCGGGCAGGCGGGTAGAAGCAGGAAGAAACGCGGGGGGAAGTGGAGCAAACATTACACACACAAAAACAAAAACATCAGCAAAGCAGCAAGAAGAAAAGTTATATATTTTTTTAAACGCCTTTGCGTCTTCACACACGCCGCGCATCCTCAGACGTAGTCGCTGCACGCCCCACAGTGAGCGTCGAACAAGACACACGCACACACAACAAAAAGACATGAAAAATAAAAAGAGACCGTGCGCGGTAAAGACGGAGGGAAAAGGGGAGGCGGGCACAGTAAAATGGCAATGACAATAACGATCACAGGCTTCGTCGTGGACATGCGACACGCGCGTCTCGCCCACTTCGCGACGCCCTACTCATCACCGTCCCGTGCCATGACGACGTCGCCGAGGTCCCTCTCCACCAGAAACCAAAAACAACAACACCGAAATCAAAACAAAACAAAACAGAAAAACAGGCAGTCAAACAGAGTGCAGGTGAGTAGAATATTTTGTATTCCTTCTCATCACTAGTACCACTTTTCGCACACCGTGCGTCGGTGCCCTCGTTCCCGTCCCACACAAGAAGTACTTCACACCACAGGCAGAAATGAGGGGGGACGCCCCCACCAGCGGTTCGCGCACAGGCAGCTCCGAACAGTATAAGGCCTCGCTCACGGGGTTGGCAATGACCAACGGAAGAAGCCCATCCTCCGCAAACCCCTCTCCTCACGCACATACAGAAAGCCCCGTCCTCTCCAGCTGCAGCGACTGTTTCCGCCACAGCACTTGCCCAACCTGCCGCGGAGCCCTTCGGAGGGTGTTCATTCCACCGCTCGTGCCCCCCTTCGAAGCCTCGCGTGGGTGCCCGCTCGCCCAGCGTATTTGGGCTGCCGACCTGCGGGGGCAAAGCATAGCCGTAGATCCCACACCAGCCACTTAGGACACCAACAAGCTCGTTTAACCGCGCCCCTGTTGATTCCACCTCGCACAGCGCAATCCCATAGAACCCAATCTTTTGCAAGGACGAGCGCAAAAAAACGTCGGCATGGGGCACGGCGGACGGCAGGCTCTTGTGCCTCTTCGTGCCGCTTGAGTTGAGAACAAGGCTTCCGCCACTGTTCAGCTTGTCCTTGAGATCCTGTAGAGGGCCTTCCCTCCTGGTTGGTGAGGCTCGCTGCACGCACAAACTTCCGAGCCAAACCACACCCTGTGCTGTGAATAGCTGCGAGCGGCTCCTCATATAATTTTAAAAGCGTTTCTACAGAAATCATTCCAATTGATCCAAATTCGTGGACGCATCCACTTTACGCCCTTCACTGCCATCCTCCTTGGGTGCCATGCAAGCTGGCCGCAACAATGCACTACTTGGCATTTCTCTGTTTTCCCTCACGACAAAGATTGGGAGAGAATGTTCTTCTGAAGTCGCACAGAGGGAGGGCGTATTGGCCAGCTCACTGCTGCTCTCGTTTCGATAGAGGCTGCCAGAACACACGCTCGAGGTAGCCTCTTCACACAGGCCCTGGGTGTAGTTGCTACTGCCGAGGAGCGTGACCGGTAGCTCCTTGCAGCTTTACAGCCCCATTGCGTCGTGCCGCTCTTCGCCCTGTCTAACAGGCGCAGCAAGCCCCATGCTCTGGAACACGCCTCCCCGCTCTGTTCTTCCGCCAGTGTCACACCACGCCGCAGTGGCAGCAGAAGGAAAAGTCAGTCATGCTAAAAGGAATTGCACGTCCTCCATCCACACGGCCCCCTCCACAGCTTACATCTCACTCCCATTATTTGCGTGCCTGGCACATGAGGAGCTTCCACCCACCTACACCTCCTGCTACCGCTAGTGCGGCTCTGCCTCTCATATTTTTTCCCCTTCATCGCCGCAGTCCACCGTCCACGTCCACATTGGACGGTTGAAGAGGAGAAGCTTGTATCCATCATCAACGGCACTCCCGCCAGTAGTAATCCGCACGCCGCACCAAAAACAAAAAAAAGAAACGCGTCTCAAAAACATCTCGCACGGCCAAAGTCGAGGAAGACGCCTTACTCCCTCAGGCCAAGCGAACGGAAAAAAAACCCACCGGACGAAGCGTCAGCGTCCACGACAGAGCAACCCCCCACCCCCTCGGACAAACACGTCAGCCAAACAAAAAGATGAAAATCAGCAAATCCAGTAAAACGCCTCAACGAAAGCAAAGATACATATATATCAACAAGCAATACAGCGAAAAGCCGAAGCGCCCACCACAACACCGCCACAAACAACGACAGTCGCCATGCTCCAGACTCGACAAAAATTAACTATCAACTGCACTTATCCTGCGTGCATTGCTGTAAGAGAACCCGCGGGGAGAAAGAGAGACGCAGCTGCAGCACACACAGGCAAGGGACCGTGCCCCACCGGCGTCGCCCGCCCCTGCGCCCACGAGGGGTGGGAAGGACGCCACGGCACGCCCCCCACTAGGCGTCGGAAGACAGGCGTAAGGCAAAAAAACAAACCACACAATTTCACATCGCGCACTCACCGGAATAATAAAACGGAAAAAAAAGGCACAAACCCGGGTGCATCGCCCATTGGTGGCCCAACACATAAACGCACCTTCGCGTCACGTGCTCCCAGCAGAAGCACGCATGCAGCAAACAAAAAGAAAAGAGGCTCCTACTGACAACACCACCACGCCACACGAAGGCAGCAGGCGGGGAGTGGCAAACTCTACGGGACAGTCAGCGACACCGTCCACGTCCTTCGGCCATCGAGGACACGGAGCACGCACTGAAAGTGCAGCAAACAAGCAATTGACGCTTCCATGTAATATTACAAAAAACATTTCATTCTCGAAAAATCAAAAATAGCAGCTCGTTCATTCATTAATCACATAGAGGGTATATTGTGTCTTTCGACACACGTGAGACACGGGCAAGAGGCGACGTGTCGTTGCCGAAGCGCGCCATGAGGGCAGCGTAGTCGTCCTCCCGTACGTGGTGGAGACACATGGAAGATGGCACCACCTGCGAGTGCCCTGTGTCGTTGCGGACATCATGAAAATGGCAGGGCAACACCTTCACAAGGACCAGCGACTGAGGCTTCACCTCCTGCAGCAGCACACGCCCCACCATTATGTCGTCACTCATATGAATTTTTGTGAACTCTTCTTC